CACATCTTATTGTGAGGTTGATTTCACATACACTACTTCGACGTTAGCTTGTCTACATACTTGAGCATAGCCAATTTAAATTAACCTTAGCGATGCATACAGTTCCTACCTACATAGGCTAATAAAATATCTCTCTACGTTACAAGGATTACCTTATTTTATCAACCTCAAACAGAAGCCGTTTGTTCAACAGTATTATCCCACTTAACGTCTATTTCGTTCTAACCTTTATATATACAGTCTATTATTTTAATTTGGAGGCTACGATTAGCATTGTTAGCACCGCTGTAGCTACCACTCGCTACACGCTAACCCAAGCCTTAACATTCATTACGTAGCTGATTAAAATCATTAACACATAAATAAAGCACTCGAATTTCACTTTCCGCAAAACCGCATTCATGCACCGTCTGTTTTAACCGCAGAGCGAGTCACAATAGTCCGATATATAAGCATGAAGAACAAACAACCACGGCCGGCTTCAAGTTGTGTTCCCTGGATGAGCTGAGCAGGCAGAGTCCCTGTAGCTTCACGGAGCTGCTAGCAGAGAGACAAGAAGCTAGCAGCAGAAGTCACTTGACAGAGCCGTCACTCAATGTGACCACGCCCTAATTTATGCAAAAACATCAAGACCTAATATAAATAAAAGGGTCGTGTTAGAAAACAATTCACTCACAGATCCATAATCATGAAGGTGGAATCTAACTATATCGATAATAAAAATGTATGGAGCCAGGGGTACAAACATGTTTTTTTCTGCTGTAAAATTGGGCATTTTAACATGGGGGTCTATGGAAATTGCTCCTTTCTGCAGCCGTCGCCTATCGGCCAATATATGAACTGCAGTGTGTGGCACTTCCGTATTGGCGTCCCGGCTATTCCCCAGAGTTTGCCCCTTGGTCACTACCCGATCCGTCCCCCTGCCCGATCTGTACTGCGCATGTGCGAGATGGTCCGCCATATTGGAGAACTCCGGACGGCAACCCAAGAAGGACCCTTGACACAGTGGCTTTTGGCAAAGCTCAAAAGGAAAACTCGAGAGAGATGAGTTATTGTTATTACAACGTGACTTCACTATTATTTAACAACTCTTTTTATTGGGTTCTTTTATTTGGGGTTAAGTCCATTGTCAGAATAAGTGAGAAATGGATTTAACTTCTGTTAGACAGCAATATGCCATACATTTTTGCATACATTCACAGTAAATATTTATTCAGAAGTCACGTTGTAATAACAATAACTCATCTCTCTCGAGTTTTCTTTTTCAGCTTTGCCAAAAGCCACTGTGTCAAGTGTCCTACTTGACATGCCGTCCGGAGTTGTCCAATATGGCGGACCATCTCGCACATGCGCAGTACAGATCGGGCAGGGGGACAGATCGGGTAGTGACAATATGAAAAAATTTTATTAAAAAAAAACACAAGACTAACGCTGAGCCTCTGAATTAGCCCTGAGCGAAAAAATGCTAACGCCGTTAGCATATAACTCACTCATAAAACCCTTATTACTTATCGTAAATGCAAATCCATTGACTACAGTGGCGAGCCGTGACTTTTATACCTAGGCCCTCTGACCCCCCCCCCCCCCCCCCCCCTTCCCTCGAAAGAAAATAAGAGATATTACGTCACAGCGTATACTTCAGCGGAATATCAAAACAGCGGCCCGGGGTGCAAAACGCATCAATGACAGCGACCCTCTACCACACAAAACAACATCATTTATATAAACACCTATCATGACAGGGCACCCACAGCCAAGTAACAATTAAAAATGAATTAAGTCGGCACGGCGGCCCACATTGAAAATGACCAACCCCTGATCCCACCGGAAGCGTCTGCGCCGCGCTGCGACCTCCTCCTGCATCATAACCCACCAGGCGCGTTTCAAACGTTGCGGAAGCGGAGCGTCGTGTGTGCAGCCTCGCAGTTGTTGGATGAACGTTCCACTTCCTGCCTGCGCCGCGTCAAAAATAGGATTCATCCTATATTTTAGAAATTCCTTGCGGCGAGGAGCTTCTGGGACGCTTCGAGCCGCGGCGCAGCGGGTCTGGTGGAATAGCACCCATTGACTAGAGTGGCCGCGATCGCTAAAAACGCGGCAGCCGCAGCGCAACGCAGCGCAGACGCTCCTGGTGGGATTAAGGGGTTAGGCCTACCTTTGATGATCAAATCACTTAAACACAAAGTCCATCCTCCTGTCCTTTTGGATGAAACACTTGCGGGTCATTCAGCTGATCCTTTGCCACTCCAGTTTATCATTGTAGGCTAACTCAATCTTGAAAATGACTCGGTTAATAATTTCGCAACGATGTCACCACTATCACTGACATGAGCCATCATGAACGAATTTATGCTAATCATAAATCTATCCATCATAAATCTATCGATTAGATTGATGATTCAAAAATAATAAAAGTGTGGATATTATCCGGCTGAACAAAACGTGCATTTATCTAACAGGTTCGTTTTCCACAGACCTTATTTCCAGCTATTTTCCAAAATCCTATGGAGAAATCACGTTGCTTTCTGTCGAGGGAATCCGAGCGAAGCTTACTTCCGGGTTTTAGGATGCGTCACTGCACCACTTGCATAGACCTCACAGCGGGCGGAACTTGTCATAAAGTCCGCGGAAATAAAGCCCGCCCATTTAGAGGGAAGATATGATTGGTCAATTGTACTGTCATTTGACATTACTCTCTCGTTGAGTTACTATAGCGGGCCCTCTGTGAATGTAGAGAGGGACCAACAAGCTCTCCCGTCTTCACATAACTCGCAGAGATGGGATTTAACCCTTCACATTCCAACAGAAACTGAACAGGCAGATTCGAAGGATTTATTTCTTTGGAAATATTATTTTAAATACAATTAAATCAAATTATTTTGGTAAAACTAATGAAAAATTTAACAACAAAAAAATATAAAAAATAATATTTTTAATTTTTGTATTTTTTAAAATGTTTTCAAATATTATTTTTTAGAATATCTTAGGCCCTCACAGAGGGCCTAGAGGGCCCTGGCGGCTCGCCACTGATTGACTAGCATCGTGAGAGTACACAGAATCGATAGGCATCTATATAATCACTCCATGATAAGAACTCGCAAAGATTATAACACAACACGTGGCATTAGGTAGCAAACACGGCAATATTGTTTACCTTTGTTGTTGTCTGATCAAATGTTGTCTTCAATGGCATTAAAACGATAAAAAACGCTGCTGAAGGTTAATCCATAGGTTAATCCAATGTGTCTGTATCACTTTGAAATGATTTCTGATAATCCATGAGCAATAAACCTAGTTTTAAGATTTCAGATTTCAGAGCGTAAAATAGCTTTCGCTTTGGGCAAACTGCGTGTGCCATGGTATCGTTGGTGTGTATGTGGAAATTCCCCTTCGATTCTATTGGCTCTAACGGTTCAAAAGAGATGTCAATCATCAAAATCGACCAATGGGTTCCAGAGAAACGGCAAAAACGCCCATTTCCCCAGAGGTGGAGTTTTTTTCTTCTTCTAAACCTCCCTAAAAAGGTCAAATGTCACTTGTTTTGCATCAATCTTGATACAGGGTACTTATTATATGTTGTACTTTGGATTCCTAAAGCTTTTAGTCTACTAACCCATCATCCAAGTCTGGTTTTCACTATAAGTACAACATAATTTCTGGACGGACACTATCATTTACATGTTTGTACCATGTTCAATCTGAATTTTATTTAAAATAAAAAACATCTATATTGATTCTGACTTTTCTACATTCAACTCACAGGTTTATCATTGCTTTGAGAAAAAAGTTTATTAATTTTCCCCTTTTTAGAAGGGAAGATATGGTCATTTGTTCTGGGAATGTCATTTTCGAGCCTGAGACCTGAAAAACAGGCTTGGGGCTTAACAGGTTAATGCACCGGTTAACATTTTTCCATTTTCATTAAAACCTCTTTCGGTAGAGTTCAAAGGGAAAATCCTCATTTGTTCAGTATATATTTTGTATATATTTTTATTTTATTCCTCTGGATTGTGAGAAACAGCATTTTGTTTTCCCTGTCTGTATCACACAAAAAGAAGATTGACAAAAAGGACACTTTGAATTAAGCCCCGCCTCCAATCCATTGTATCCATTCACGTGTTGGCTCATTCAAATAAATGAATAACTCTATATTCAGATTTAATTTTTTAGGCCCTGTATGGTATTTTAGCCCTGAGCGCAGGATCAGCTGAAAAGAGTCCAGGAAGCTTATCTACAAGTTAACAGCGTTTAATTAAACAATGATACGATAATACAATTACATTGCAAGAATGGTGAACAGCTGTTGCTCTCCCCCCTTCGGCATGGGATCAGAGCAAGACACCGATTTCCTGTGTGCATCACATGTTCTCATCGGAAATCTTCTCTCATTGGTTGGCGGAGAGGGGCGGGTCCAAGACACGTCCTGTCTTTTTCTGGTGTTAGTTTTACAATATTCTAATATCTGTTGGCCATTTTAAACATTCCCTAATAGCATTGCAGCGTCAATAAGTGAGGGTTAAAGACAGTGTGAATACTCCTTAAATTCACGTATGCAAAACATAATATTAGCTACATGCTAATGCTAACCTGAAGTTGACGATATTTACTCGGGGAAACCGGAAGTTGAGTGTGTGAACATCCGGTTTTCAGAATAAAGCAGCTTTAAATTAGAACAGTGTATTCATTTAAAGTTACAGCACATAATATTGATTTTCTTACAGCCCCAATTATATAAATAAGGGCTATTCAAGTTTCCATTCTGGGAAGTAGATTTACCTAAAAAGATGTATACGCTTTACAGACGTTTCCTTCCCAATATAATGGGAAAACGTTATTTTAGACCCACAATCCTTTGCACCTTTAGAACGGCTTGCTCACACACCTGCGCAAAGTTATGACAAATTATTATTCCCTAGTTGTATGCATACTACAAACTGGATTTTTCAATGTGGAATCTAGAGCGGCACCTCTCAGAGCTCTCCCTCCCTCTCTCTCTCCAGGTGGTGTTTTCTCGAGTCACCCGGGTCTGTAAGAACGATAATGGAGGATCTCCCAGAGTTCTGGAAAGATACTGGACTTCTTTTCTCAAGGTGAATTCCCTTTTAATAAAATGACTTAAGGGCACGTTCTCTGATGTCAGGAAAATGAATGTCACAATGTGAAGCCAATTGAACTGTGTGTGTGTGTGTGTGTGTGTGTGTGTGTGTGTGTGTGTGTGTGTGTGTGTGTGTGTGTGTGTGTGTGTGTGTGTGTGTGTGTGTGTGTGTGTGTGTGTGTGTGTGTGTGTGTGTGTGTGTGTGTGTGTGCAGGCTCGTCTGAACTGCTCGGTTCCTGGAGATTCGTTCTTCTACTTCGACATTCTTCAGTCCCTCACCAACGTGCTGCAGATTAACCAGAGGCCCGCTGTGGTGGGGGTCTTCACCACGCAGGATAACAGGTAACATGAGGGCCAACTCTGTGAGGACCACTTTCAGGCTAACACCTGAAGAGTGAGTACATTTTTTAAAAGTGGTGACAAGAGTTAAGAGTTCTGTTCTCTCAGAAGAATCGCTTAGTTACTCTCTGGATGATATCATGTTAGGATTGTGCAAAGAGTCAGAAACTCAGCAGAGATCTTGTCAGTCTATTGTTGTGTTGTTGTGTTGTTATGTTGTTGTCTTCAGATCTTCGGAGTCTCCGAAATTGAGTTTGTTGGTTTTGGTTTATTTTAAGTTATATTATTATATTAAGTTTGGTCTGACACTTATCACTAATTTTAAATTAAATCAGTTAATGTGCGTTCTTCTCACAATACATTATTTCCAGCTAAATACTTCTCCATGACATTCTCTGCAGTATTCCTGGCTCAGCAGTCTGTGCGTTCTACATGGACGACATAGAGAGCGTCTTCGATGGGAAGTTCAAGGAGCAGCGGACCAGCGACTCCTCCTGGACTCCAGTCCCTGAGGAGCAGGTTCCCAGACCCAGGTGGGACCACCCTTTCACTGGGGGCAAACTCAGGGTCCTCCCAACCTAGAACGCTTTAAAACATGGTTTAGACACGTAATGGTGCGTTCAGACATTTACCTTGTGTTACTGACCGCAGCGTCATTGGCGATTACTCGCATCAATATATGAAATAACCATCCTTACAGCTTACAGAAGCAGATTGGTTGTTTATAGCCGCATTTCAACAACAACACATCTTGAATGACTTTTTGTTTTCGTTGTTTCCAGGCCCGGTACATGTACCGGTGATGGTCCGGCTGTGGACTACAAATCATCGGTTCAGTTACCTGACGAGATGCTGATGTTTATCAAGTCGTACCCTCTGATGGACGAAGCTGTTCCATCTGTGAACCACCGGCCCTGTTTCACCAGGACTTCAAGCAGGTAACACACACACACACACACACACACACACACACACACACACACACACACACACACACACACACACACACACACACACACACACACACACACACACTCACACAAAATCTCACAAACACACACTCACACCTAAACAAATACACACACACACACACACACACACACACACACACACACACACACACACACACACACACACACACACACACACACACACACACTCACACTCACACTCACACAAACACACACACATGCAGTTTCTTTGCTGCACATTTCCATGTTTTGGTTTTATTAAGGCTGAGTTCAAGTTAAATCTAATTCGTCTCTTGATAGCAGACGGTTTCTAAAGTCAGTGTAATCAAGGGTCCACGTGCAGTCATATACATCCAAACTAAGAATTCCCATCAATTTAATGTCAGCTAATGCCATAAAATCATCCACCATGGATTTATTTTTAATATATATTCATACTGCTATGCAGTAGCAGGGACATTTTTTTACTTAGTGGAAGTAAAAAAATCAAATTGAATATCGAATATCCAGAGTCAACTTGTGGCCTTATTTAAGTAAGTAGGTGTGTAACAAACGGTATAATGTGCAGCATGCAGGTCGTTAATGAGAACCCCAGCAGTGTTCTTCTCTCATTAATTGTCACTAACTAAACTAACTGGACTTTTTGTATTTCATTGTTTGATTAGCACCTTAAACTAAACACACCCACCTATGTAACATTAAACACACTTAACACGTGTCATTGAAGCCATTTATAGCTTTTGATTTATGATAAGCATATCTTAGAGATATGTTTTTGAAATACAGTATGACTTAATACTCTATACCAGCGGTTCCCAACCTGTGGCAATAATTTTTTTCAAAAGAAATTGTATTTTTAATCTACTCTTCAAACACCTTAAATTAAGATTACTCTGATTGACTTTTAAGCTAGAAGAATAGTTGTATTTATTAACTGTGTGCGGTCTTCATCTAAAAGCCCAAATAAAATATTAAAGGGTGTAAATGTAAATTCAATATTTGCCGCAAAATAATTTGCAAAACATTAGGATTTGTGTGGAAACATTTTCATTATTACGATTTTAATTTAATTTTAACCTCTTTCCTTTCTCTTTCTTGATCCTGCTTAGCAACGATCATTACAGTCCTTGACAGTGGTCTGTTCTACTGGATTTACAACGTGTCACATGTTCTGAATTGACCAATCAGAACTTTATTTAGCCTCCGTATTGTTTATGGTGTAATGTGGGCCGCGAAAAAAAAAAGTTGATTCTTAAGTGGGCCCTGAGTTGAAAAAGGTTGGGAACCGCTGCTCTATACTGTATATATTTGTTAAGAGGAAATATATTCATTAGAATTGTATGTTCTGATAATGGGCAGCTCTTATGAATGAGTGATGTTAGGCTCCACCGGCTGAGAGCTATGCTTCACAATAATGATATGTAGGTTTTGGAATTATTTGTTTTCTGGAGTCAACCATAGTTTATTGCTGAAAATCATAATTATATAATTAAAAATAACACTTTTCAAGTGGAACCTATCAGTATCTCTGTGTGTGATTTTTTTCTAAATGTGTGTTGGACACCTAATCTGATGTGGTTTCTGAAAAAGGACACCAGGATTAGCCACTAAAGTGTTGTGATAAAAAAACATCTCTATATTTATATAGCACTGTGCTTGCAACCCAGCTTCAACAACAGCTTCACACTTAACCCCCAGTAGTAGCTACACTGTCAACCCAGTCTCACGGCATGTCGTGTTCACCAACACGATTTTTAATCTATTGATTCGTGTTCACCAACACGATTTGCCCCTTTTTTTTTTCGTGTTGCACAGCACGATTTTAAAAGCAATGTATTTCTACTGCCTGCAGCACGTCTTTTTCTCCGGTCGGGTCGAGGATGACCGGAAGCTGTGTGGTTCATAAAAACATGTTCTTACTCAATATCAAGCCACAGTTATTGCTTTTATTTGAAATCGTATAATTTCGGACTTTTGTTGCCGTCTGTGAGGAAAATAAATGGGGCTCAGAGCCTCAGGATACTGAAATCTGTATTTTTTCAATCTTTTTTTCCTTCTAATTTTTTATTCTTTTCAAAATAACACACTGTTATTTACTCACCAATAACACACAATTATCCTTGCTTTTACTTATTGGTTTAATTCCATAATCTCTGGCTTTTTTGGCGTCCGTCAGGAACTGAATTTCAAAATAAAAATAACCGGAAACAGACGTAGGCATTTCGAGCGATTACCCAAGATCCTCAGCTATGGTTTTAAGCTCGCTTATTGGATGTTTTAGCCGCAATGCATGCTGGGATTTGGTATTTATATGATATGAAATCCGGAAAACATTTTAAAAGAATAAAATAATACTTGAGCGCTCTTGCTTTTCTCTTTGAAAGTCATCACATAACGGCATTGTAATACACGGTTCGGCTGCATTGTATATTACAGATCTGCCGTAGTTCTTTATTTATAGAGCCCTGATGAGAAGACCTTTGGAAAAACTGAGAAAATGCCGCCGAAACTGAATACTTGACGTGGATCATAAATATATTCAACAATTAAACAACATCTTCAATTTCTCTTCACACAATACGTCTCCTTGCAATATCAACACTAATTCGGCTGACTTTTACATTTCATCTAATTCACAGATAGGTTATATTTACACCATAACGGTGCACAGCTGATATAAAAGGAATGTAGTTTTTAAAGATATTACTGATTTTCTTTGAATGTAAGAATGTAAATACTGAGTCTGAAATAGTATAGCAATACGCTGTAAAATTATGTGAAAGCGTGCATAAAACTACACATCTTCAGATGTTGTACGAAAACATACACTAATAATACAAAGTTATTATGGCTGTGTGTACCTTGTGTGCACCTCCTAGTGGTTAAAGCACGTTATTGAATTATTGTGTTTTATTTGATTAAAAAAATATTAAGAGTACATACTTTCATAGGAGGAAAGTATAAATATAGAATATAAAAAATCAAGAAGATACTATAAGTGATCTCTACAATAAAACAGTTTAGTGCAGAATGTACAAAGATATTAATAGGAGGAGGTGCAAAACAGAAAAACGAATTAACCTTTATTTAAACATTAAATAACAGATTAAGGTCTTCTTTTAAATAAGAAAAAAACTTTGGGGGTATCTATCTACAGATAAATATTAAGCCTGACAAAGTACTTAACGTCTAATATATTGCTTTCCTGCAATGTTAACTATGTTGAAGCACTTATTTTAACTGATATTATACATATGAATTATACTCTTATGTATGTAGATAGAATAAGAAATGTGCAGAATATGACAGTTTAATGGTGGAGGTACACACATATTGATAGATGTCTTGTAATGCACTGTTGAGGAACCTGTGACCCAAGTGTTTCATTCATTGCATAACTACACCGTAGTTGTGTATATGATATGTCAATAAACCTTTGAAAATCTTGAAAGGGATGTGCAAAATAGCCATAATATACAGTCTTTAATTAACTATTAGTAGAGAATAACGAGTAATGAATATATTTTATTACTCGTTTCCATTCATGTCAATTGCAGATACATGTTTAGTCTTCTCAAGCACCAACTATCAAATATCTCTCCTGATTGTTGGCACTTGACAATCACCTTAGCTGAATTTTACTCAGGTGTAACTAAAGTCTGCTTTAAGGGTTGTTTATATTTCACATAATTAATCAGAATCTGCAAAGTAACTCAAATAAATGCAGTGGAGTAAAAATACCAGGTTAACCTCTGAATTGTAGTGGAGTAGAATTACAAAGTAACAATGAGCTGTCATGTGGGTATTAATGCTGCGCATTATGGACACAAGCGATTTTCACCCATTTATTAATTATATGTTTTACATTTGATAACACCAATGTGTTTAATACTGGCAACTTCTAATTGTGGGAAAAATGAAAATGTTCAGTAGAGACCTCCCATAGAACATTTTGCGAAACACAATAGCCAGCATGTGTAGTTCTGGGGGGGCGTTCGATTCCAGTTTTGGATAGTCTGGCGTGGTTTCGTTCCATTTCACACAGCTGTTTGACACTCTGCGTAACCTTACGGGGACTGTAGTCCTAAACGATAGCTGGGGATTATGGGTAGTGTAGTGTCTTCGGCCATCCTAAACTCAGAAATATTGACAATCGCAATGATGCTCGAAATGTCCCTTAGAGGCCTACGTCTGTTTCCGGATATTTTATTTTGAAATTCAGTCCCTGACGGACGCCAAAAAAGGCAGAGATTATGGAATTAAACCAATAAATAAAAGCAAGGATAATTGTGTGTTATTGGTGAGTAAATAACAGTGTGTTATTTTGAAAAGAATAACGAATTAGAAGGAAAAAAATATTTTAAAATACAGATTTCCGTATTCTGAGGCTCTGAGCCCCATTTATTTTCCTCACAGACGGCAACAAAAGTCAGAAATTATACAATTTAAAATAAAAGCAATAATTGTGGCTTGATATTGAGTAAGAACATGTTTTTATGAACCACACAGCTTCCGGTCTTCCTCGACCCGACCGGAGAAAAAGACGTGCTACAGGCAGTAGAAATACATTGCTTTTAAAATCGTGCTGTGCAACACGAAAAAAAGGGGCAAATCGTGTTGGTGAACACGAATCAATAGATTACAAATCGTGTTGGTGAACACAAAATGCCGTGAGACTGGGTTGACACTGTTGGTTTCAAATATAACAAATCCACAGGTAATAAAGCTTACTTACAGGTTTGACATGAATCACTAGATTGACATTACCCTGATTCAGCTCACTGGGAAGACAGCAAAGCTCAAGCTTGATTGATTGATTGATTGAAAAGTGTATTAACAGCTTGTATATTGGGTACAGTACAGTACAGCTCAAAACATACAATTGTTAAGGGGATGCAGACCAGAGAAAGACTTTCGTCTTGTTTACATCAGGGTCCCCCATTTCCAATTCATCATGTCATTTAAGACATATAAGACATATTTGACATACAGATGGCTTATTTACAATTTACATACAGGTGGTTTTTTACATACAGATTGCTTATTTACAATTTTCATTTTAGATTTCGTTCTAATACATCCTAACCGGACATTTAAGACATACCAAGTCTACAGATATACAGTTAGTAACAGAGTCTAAAATGCGAGTATATACATAGATGGGGGGGGGGAAGCTGTCCATTGAACGACAGGTTGAGATTTGTACCATTACCGGGGCCAGTTTTGCAATGCTCTCCCCCGAAGGTGCTCTTTAAGAGAGGTTTTGAAGGTAAGTATAGTTTTACTTTCCTTTACAGTTGTGGGAAGAGCGTTCCACCTTGATGTGGCATAATTGCGAAACGTGTATTCCCCCTTTTTTGTGCCAAATCTGGGTTTCACATGATTTGTGGAGCTCCCTCTGGTGTTATGATCATGGTATTCCTTGACCTTTGGGAATAATTGTGACATGTACATGGGTACCATAGCGGTGTAGTGGATCTTGTAGACCAGGCCCATTGCAAGTAGCTGTACTCTGTCGTCTACTCTAAGCCATCCTAGGTTGTCAAAGTGGGCAGAGGTGAGGTGGGTTCTAGATGAAAGGTCAAGCAGTAGTCTGACCAGTTTATTTTGCGATGTTTGAAGTTTTATTTTTAGCGCCTTGGAGGTGCTATGGTACCATGACGTGCAAGCATAGTCATAGTACCCTTAAATGAGTGCTCCTGCCAGAGTTTTCAGGGTGTTTTTGTTTACCAGAGAGGAGATCCGGTATAGGAATCTAGTTCTTTGATTGACTTTTTTTATTACATTGGATGCCATTTTGTCACAGGAGAGGTTTGCCTCAAGAATAGATCCTAGGTATGTAATTTCCTTCTTACTTGTGACAATAATGTCGCCCAATGCAACTGAGAAGTCGTCGGATTTGCTGAGATTATGTTTCGAACCGAAGAGAATGGACTCTGTTTTACCCAGGTGTAATGATAATTTATTATCGGCGAGCCAGGTGCAGATTCTGCCGAGCTCGGAGCTGAGGGTTTTTTCAACCTGCAACCTGTTCCTGCCAGAGACCAGCAGGGCTGAGTCGTCCGCGAACAGGAACAAGTTGCAGTCACCTGCTGATGACATGTCATTTACATAAATTAGGAACAGTAACGGACCTAATATGCTTCCTTGTGGAACACCACAGCTCACTGGGAGGGGGGGGGGACAGAGTACCGTTTACCTCCACCATCTGTTCTCTCCCCTCCAGGTAGGATTGCATCCAGCTCACCGATAGTTTATCAAAACCAATTGCTTTTAGCTTGTCAATCAGAATGGGGTGATTGACAGTGTCGAAAGCCTTTTGTAGGTCCAGCATCACCATGCCGCAGTACTTGCCCTCGTCCACCTCTTGTTTGATGTGGTCGCTCAAATAAAGAAGGCATGTGTCAGTGGAGTGGGATGTTCTAAAGCCAGATTGAAATTCATAGATTAGTTTCTTTTCCGCGAGGTACTTTTCGACCCGTTCATATACTATTTTTTCCATGACTTTCGAGATGGAGGTAAGTATAGAGACAGGGCGGTAGTTGCCTGGGTCCAATTTGCTGCCCTTTTTGTGCAGGGGGGTTACTCTTGCAATTTTGAAGTTTTGAAGCTGATAGCTGCCATAATATTACAGCTTGTAACAATACACACACCTCGACACTTGAACATATTTCAGTGTGTTGTGAAAAAAGCATCTCAATATTTCTAGTGCTAGCTAGCAACTTAGCCGAGGCAAGAGCTGTGTCAGCAACTTCATCAAAAGCTTCACAGCGGCAAACTCTGGGGCAAAGCCGTGAAGCCCATAAGGAAGTGCCACAAACTGCAGTTCATTTAGTGGCCGGTAGTAGGAGACTGCAGAAGGGAGCAATTTCCATGGACCCCCATGTTAAAATCCAAACTTTTGAGCAGAAATAAACATGTTTCCATTGTGGTTAAAAAAACCATATTATCTGTATAGTTAGATTCCACATTCACAACAACTGTGAGGGGAGTTAATTTTGCTGCTGTTGTTAGCTTTCTGTCTCTCTGCTCTCTTTAGGTAGCACGCACAAAGGTTTGGCTTTAAATGAAGAAAATGCAGTAGCACTTATTCTGTTTTTTTCAAGATTCAAGGCTTTATTGTCATGTAAACAACAATAGTGTGTGACAGTAACTACAGTGTAGATATGGCAATGAAAAACGTAAGTCACAGGCTCTTCCAACAATGCAACGGGTTAGGGTTTGGGAATATATAAAGGACATAAAACAATTAAAATGGTGCAAGAGAATGTTTTTGAGATGTGCAAATAAATACCAATTAAATAGAAATAGGTTGAGCTCATAGATAGCAAATTAACCTGCAGGATTCTTGATTTAGAGTTTTTTTCTTCATGGTCAATGCACTTCCCGTTAGATAAGCGTCCGATTAAATGTAATGTATGTACAAATATATGCAAAAAGCTAAATAAGGCCACTTTAAATACATGTTATTGTAGGAGGGGAGGTGTTGCATCTGGGTTTACTAGTGTGGTACATTTGAATAATAAAGGGGTAGAGACGTTGTTTTTATGGAAGTCTTTGAAATCACACATTTAGACAATTTGTTTTGGCAAAAGGAGGCTTTTACACATGATTTTTCCTCACAGATCACTGAGCATCCTTTTTTTTACTTCAAGGTCCAAGCTGAGCCAGATAGTGGTGGATGTGTCTGCCGGGCCGTACAAGGACCGCACAGTGATGTTCCTGGGTTCAGACGATGGTCGAGTCCTGAAGCTTCTTTCCAGCACACATCCTAACGACAGCTTCGGATCCAAACTGCTAGAGGACATACATGTCTACAATCCATCCAAGTAAGATCTGAGCACATCAGAGATTATTCTCATACTGCTCTTCTGCTGAAGACGGCTTTATATGATATTGTGTGTGTGTGTGTGTGTGTGTGTGTGTGTGTGTGTGTGTGTGTGTGTGTGTGTGTGTGTGTGTGTGTGTGTGTGTGTGTGTGTGTGTGTGTGTGTGTGTTGTGGTGTGTGTAGGTGTAATGTTCAGGGTCAGGAGGACAGAAGGGTTCTGGCTCTGGAGCTGGATAAGGAGCGCCATGCGTTGTTCGTGGCGTTCAGCAGCTGTGTGATCAGAGTGCCGCTCAGCCGCTGCAGCCAGCATGGAGCCTGTAGAAGGTGAGTCCACACACAGCAGCTGCTCTCACTCAGCCTTATGCTCTGAGGTCTGTACTTGATCTCACAAAATAAAATTGGGTAAACATAAAACCTAAACAGACCAATCATTGCTGGCTTGATCTGGAGTAACCCTAAAGATCTTGTGCCTTGTCTCTTAATATTCAACACATATATTGGACCTGTCAGCGTGGATTTAAACTTGACCCAAACTACTAGAGACTGGACTTTGATTAGACTGCCACTAATAAGGTCTTGAGACTGGGCTTAGATTTGCTCTGGAGGGGAAACTTGACTTGATCTGGCTTTTTAACCACAAGACATGACTAGAGACTTTGCTCAAATTGCTTGAGACTTAAGATATAGTTATGTGTGTGTTTATGCATATTCTCTTCTTTTATTTCTACTTCTCGTGAGTTTTTCTCATCAATATAATCCTCTCTTTATTTCTGTCTCCACACCATTTTTTTTCTTCACCTCTTCCCTTTAATGTCCCTCTCAATCTTCTTTAATTCTTCCCTCCCCTCCCCTTCCTCCTGTCCCCGGGTTCTGCTTCAGCTGTTTTAACTTTGTTTGTTAGGAAACACCTCACCATTAATAGTGGTATCACAGTACAATTTGACAATATCAGAATCAGAATACCTTATAGTCCCACAGAGGGGAAATGTACATTGTTACAACAGAAAATAGCCAAAGACAGCTTCATGTTACCTAAGAAGCATGCATACAAAAATATTAAAGATAAGAAAGAATATCATAATAAAAAAAGTTACACAATTTACAAAAAACACATCCTGTAATAGTTCTGAGGAGTTAGCAGCCAGGTATATATTCCACAGTTTTTTTTGTTATAGTCTGTGTTGTTGTGTGTGTGTCCCCACACACACAACAACACAGACTATAACACTCCTTGTTGTTAACCACCAACTATGTGCAATATGTGCAATATATATATATATATACATGCTGTTAAAAACTGCGCAATATACCTCTACCTCTACTAGGGGTTGTGCTGTCTAACCGCTGCAGGAAGGAAGGACCTGCGGTATCTCTCCGTGAGACAGCGGGGGCAGCAGCCTGTCACTGAAGGAGTTGCACAGTGAGGACAGGGTGTCCTGGAGGGGGCGGGACACATTTCAATATTATGGTGGCGAACCAATTATAATTTGGATTCAAACATTGTTTTTCCAGCCATGACTATTTCGAGTCTTGATTTATACACATCAACACTTTTTTGGAGTTATGCCCTGACAACTGTCATGTATACATTTAAAAAGATGGGCCTTAATGGCATCAAGCTGATATCCACCATATGATTTGTGGTATGTACCACACTAAAGCCATATGGTCAACTTCCAAGTATTTATTTAAAATGTATCAACAATGACTTCAATTCAATTTCCCCATGCAAGAAAGTGTTAAACAGGAAACAAGAAGAGCAGTAAAGACTCATCTGCAAAAAGCCATGAATTCCTGGATTATAGCATGTCGGTTCCTTTCATAACTCACATGGAATGCAAAATGTAGCCACGGGAGAATTTTTCCGATCTGTTGTTTCTCCATGACCTCTGTTGTTTGCATTTGACATTATAAAACACTGGGAGAATTGTAGATCCTGCATTTGATTCCTGAACGGAAAATGAAAGCCCATTACGATTGATTTCCGAATTCAAAATCGAAATTGTTTCCACCACTACCTGCAATAACTTTATTTTCTGTAAGAACCCATGGTTACGAAACGGGGACCAAGGGAGAAAAGCCATCGCATGACCATACCTAGGCCCATTGAAAAATGATTTAACTTGAGAAATTGGGATAACGTTCCATCAAATATTATAATTTTCAAGTCAAACAATGTGTTACCGATTAATATCATTTATCCATATATTCATCGCCATGTCACATGTTGCCTGTGGTATAACCACTTTCTTGGCTTTCTTTTTTCTCATTTTAAATAATGCAATCTTAACATGTGGAGGAGAATACACTGGCTTTACATTTTAAGCATCGGCATGAGATGTTGCGTTATATTGATGGTAGCTTACAGGAAAGCGGAAAAGTGGAGACTGTGTTTCAGAGTGTGTATGACACCACCCTGTTGTTGGACTGTCGGAATAAGTGTTATTCAAATATAGTGTTGTCCAAATATACCTGGGTTGCGTTCCGATAATCCAAAAATCAGCTCCTAAATTCTAACCCTATCTCCTATTCCTTGACCTCTGAGTGGTTAAGGGATAGTGGATAGGAGAATTCTAAAGGACTTAGGAGAAGAGACTGCGGTACTTTAGAGAATCCGACTGCACTTTCACTATCCAACGTGTTTATGATGCGCCAGCGGACGTCCTGAATGTGCGTCTGCTGCTGTGGGGAAACTATGGAAACTACAGTTTTCTATACAGCGGACTACAACATGGATGTTTAATAAGAACGAGGGACTACTGTAAACTCATCTAGAGACTCTGCACCGTGCTCTGATGCTGTTGCTTTATGCTTTATGAACGTGGACAACAGAGAAACATATTCTTCAGGACCAAAGTTGGAAATGAAATAAAAAAGGAAAGTGAAACTTATGCTCGTCCCCCTCTCCCTCCGGTCCACATTAATACAAATGATCCCAATACGTATGATTGATGAAAAGATCTTAAAATCAATACAGATGTATTTATTATAAACGTTAGTCCTTAACATCTATCACTGTGTATATCACCATTCAAACATCTTTTAAAAGTTGAACAAACCCCACACAGCTCAGTAAAGACTGTGAGATGTTGACTTTATTTGATCATTTCAGTAAAAACTAACGTTCATATTTCTCTTTTTGATTATAATACTGATGAACGTTCAAAACAAAGCACTTTGGCAACTTACCACATACGTTTTAAAATGCTTAATAAGCACCGTAACTTTCATGATATCATTTCTCCGTCATAATCGGTTGTTTCCGTGAACGGCCGACTGTTGTGATGGCAAATGCTGCGGCTGCAATGCATTGTGGGGCAGCATTTTCTCCTCTCCTTTCGGTTAGGGAGGTCCAGTGGTTCCTAAGCTAAAGGAGGTTATAAAGGAAGTTTGAAACCTCCTTTCCTTTCATTTGGAGAATTGGAACGGCACTTATCATGGCTGCCAGTGAGGGACTTCCGGGTCATTTCACTCCGTTAGGAAGGTTCCTAAGCTAAATGGACTATTGGAATGCAACCCTGTTCATATTATTTGAGAATTCAATGTTTCATTTTATCAATATGGACTACTGGAAAAGCAGATACAAATATTATTGACCCAGATAAACATTAAAGCCCCCCCCCCCTCTCTCTCTCCAGAGCCTGCCTGGCCTCCCGTGACCCATACTGCATCTGGCTGCGCACCGGGAGCTGTGCCAACATGGCGCCAGGTTTCAAGTACGTGACCCCTTTTTCTTTCTGTCTCCTCTCTCCCTCAGACGGCATCAGCCCCACAGCTGATAAAGCTCTCAGCTCCACTGGTATATCTGATGCCCCTTTCCCCCCAAAGCAGTTCCAAGGCCAGTTTGGAGCTAGTGCCCGATTAAGCTCTGGTTCTTCCTGTTTCCACCACAGGGGTGCTGACTTTTGGCCCCAAAAACCCGTTCTCAGCTGTCCCCACTCGACTCCCCGTCAAGAAACAAGAACCAATACGTCACGCTTACGTTGGAGACGGGTGCAGGAGCACGACCACACACTTTAAAAACAAAAACTAATTTTAAATGAGTCAACACTAACCAGGCATAGTGTGATGCTCTTTGTTTTTACCTTATTTGAATGACCATCCGTTCGCTGATATTTCACGTTTTTAAGACCATCAAAACGATTTCCTGTTTTTTTATTAGATCAGCTATCGGGTGGAATCAGTACTTGGGCTACACAAGTGAAATCATAAAGAGAAATCACCCATCTTATACCAGAGACACTTTAATAAAGGCGTTGTGATGCCAAAAAGCATACATTCATACTGAAACACATTCACTTATGGGGATGGGGGATATTTATGAGCTGCTTGTGTGACAGTCAGACAGTGAATACTTTCCAGCGGACGTGAGTTAACGGGAGAATAAACGGTAAACGCTAGACTAAACTCACATTAATAAACAATGAAGCAAGGCACTCTGGGAAACCAGACCGTACGCAGTCTCCTATTGTTGTTGTTGTGAGCAGCGTTGGGGAGAAAATCAGAGACGTAAACGATGATGCCCATTTGGGCTCTGGGCGGTGGAAACACAACCGGTGCTAATAAGAAGAACCGGTTTGGAACCAGAAAAACACAAGCACAGAGCTAGAACTAGAACTGGTTGGAACACCTTATTTCCAACCAGTTCTAGCACTATCATGTTGTTTATTGGGGACTTTAAATGTTTTCCTTACCAAGGTTAGAATAAAAAGAAAAGGTTGATCCCGCTCACCCTCCTTTCCTCATGAGTCCCAATAAGTACGATCGTATGAAATTATTTGAATAAACAATATTTTATAATGTACTATTATTACTTATGCCTACACCTCTACTACCGGGCATATCACCATTCAAAAATGTTGAGTAAAGAAAAAATGCTTAATAGAATCTGACAAAACTCAGTTAACAGTGAAGTGTTGACTTTATTTGATCATTTTACTGTAGTCATTGTGAAGTTCATAGTGTGCCAGTGGTGTAAAGTAACTAAGTACATTTACTCAAGTACTGTATTTAATACTCAGGTACTTTTTTTGCTACTTCTACTTCTACCCTACTACAATTCAGAGGTAAATGGTGTACTTTTACTCCACTACATGTATTTAATACCATTAGTTACTTTACAGATGTGGATGAATGATGTGAAATCTAATCAAGTGTTAAATCAGACTTTAGTTCCACCTGGAGTAAATCCACAAGCTACCCTGCAGTATACAAAGTCATTCAAACTAGCCTATCACTTCAATTATTCAATACATCCTTTGTACTGAAGTATTCAAAAGTAAACATTTAATTTTTAATATAAATGATTTGCTGTGGCCAATTGTTTTCATTGCATTTGACACTTGTAACTCTCTGATAGTAGAACCACGCAAACATATATAAATAAATCATAAATAAATAACATAATGAAAATAAATATATTGCAATGCTCAAAACAGCAGCATCCAACAGTCTCTAATCCTTGGATATTACATGTCACTGCATGCATGCACGGAGCACCCGTAGCGCAGAGATCATCATATCATTCTGTCTTGTATTACTTAACAACAAAACAAAACAAAATTAAAACAAAACGGCTCCTTCACGGGCGCGAGCCGGCTCCCGTCGTTCACTTAAAAGAGCCGGCTCTTTGAGCTGGCTCGTTCGCGACCGACACATCACTATTACATATATCCATGGATGCAGGCACGTGCACACATAGACATCAAAGTGGGCTTGAGCCACTGCCCTTTTTCTTCCTCCAGAGAAAGTGCCCTTTTTTCCCCCTTTTTTTTATTTTTATAAATGAATATAAATCTACTGCTGTTTGCGCACAGTTTCCCTTTCCAAAAATATATTGATTGAATACAAAATATCAGGTCGGGAGATTAGACTGTGAAGTTCCGTAGCTCTCCCTCCCTCCCTCCCTCCCTCCACGTCTGCTGCACAGTGGTGTGGACATCGGCAGTCACTTCAGACAGACTGGTAGCAACACCTCCCAGTTTATTGTCCCATGTTATGCCGGCTTTTCTTGGCTTATTTTGAAGGTGAGTGATGATGAGCAAATTACTAAACTGCCAGTGCCTCGAGTTTACAGCTAATTAGCTAAAAGACATTAACACATATAGTTAACCTAGGTAGGCTACTAGCTAAGGGATAAGTTAGCTCAAGGTTTAGCTAAGGCAATTTATCATGGGCATACAGGCTAATGTAGCCTACTGTACTTAAGGGGAGACACTTAAAGTGAATACAGTGAAATATGTATCTAATAACGTCATCACAATCGCCACATTGATATGCAAATTAAGCGTTAACTAGGCTTAATTAAAATGTGCTAATTTGCACGCAGTTACCAAGGCATTGCAGGTGAAAAGGATCAAACTAAAAAACATATCACCACCTCACAACTTCCCCAGATAGTTACTTACAGATGTAGCACTCCAGATAGGACTCCACCCAGCAGATTCCAACCAAAAACCCAGCAGATCCCAGTGGCTGGGGGCGTTTCCAAATATCCCCCATTTGTTCAATTACAGGATTAAACCATGAGATGGCGCTTCATTCACAAATTCAGTACAGTAGAACTTAGTCTGTTTACAATGTTTGCAGCTCTGTTGTGTTTGCTGAAGAGCATTTCATCACTTATTTGTTATGGTTTTCACAGGCTACTATAACGAAAAATCATCAATATTTTAGATCAAATAAAGTATATCTAATCTTATTATCTTAATTGTAATTCAATAATATAAAGTCTTTATATATTAAATAATCATAATAATAATGTAAATGTTTACACTTCTTTATTTTTTATGCTCATACTTTTACCTTTACAATAGTTTGCTTTATGCAGTATATTTTTTGTAATATTGTTGTGGTGTACACAGTACAGTAGATTGCAGTGGCGAGCCGTGACTTTTCTACCTAGGCCCTCTGACCCCACCCCCCTCTTCCCTCGAAAAAAAAAAGAAAAAGTTTTTACGTCACAGCCTATAGTATACTTCAGCGGAATATCAAAACAGCGGCCCGGGGTGCAAAACGCATCAATGACAGCGACCCTCTACCACACAAAACAACACCATTTATATAAACACCTATCATGACAGGGCGCCCACAGCCAAGTAACAATTACAAATGAATTAAGTCGGCACGGCGGCCCACATTGAAAATCACTTTGACTTACCTTTGATGATCAAATCACCTAAACACAAAGTCCATCCTCCTGTCTTTTTGGAGGAAGAACTTGATGGCGTCGTCATGCAGGTGATCCTTTGCTTTTAAAGCAATCAGCAATTTCTTCTCGATCGAAATTAAGGCCAAGTCTGACAGTCGGACTTGCCCAGTCGTGGACCTCGAGTAGCTTTTTATGCGCTTCAGTGCAGAGAAGGACCTCTCCACAGAGGCAGTGGACACAGGTATTGTCAGGATGATGCATGAGAGGGTGTACACCTGTTTCATGCTTTCACTCAGTCCTTTTTTGAGGAGAAACTGATGAATGTCGGCTGGGCTTTTCCCCAAAATGTCAGACATGCCGTACATCACGGCGAGTTCCGTGTGCAGTCGAGGCTGGTCGAAATATCCGCCATAGCTCTCCATCAAACTGTTCAAGGCAGCAGTTGGGAAATAGTTACAGTAATGCCCGAACTGTTGCGGGTCCAGAAGGGCCAGGAATTCCAGCTTTTTGTGGTCACTGAAGCGGTTGGAAATCTGGGTTAGCAGGCTGTCAATTACGCTGCAGTGGAGCTCCCTGTACCGTGCACGAACGTCTCCTTGAGCTCCACGGACGCGCGGAGGACCAACCAAAGCCTGGGTTTCATCGTAGACGCTGTCAAAGTTCCCCTTCTCCTGTTCAATTTGTCGCTGTAGCTGATCCACTCTGGCCAGGCAGAACTGCATATCAAAACCTTTGTTCTGAAGTATTTCAAAAACAACATCCGAGTAGGAGAAGATAGCGTGGAAGGTTTTCAACCAAAAGCTGAAATCGAAGCTGGTAAGGAGGGTGATGTATCCATCAGAGCAATGAACAGTTTCGTCATCAAACTCTGTGTGATGGTCTACGATGTGCTCGAACACCTACGAGAGTAATGCTTAGTTTAGAAAAAACAACTTATAGACCTCCAGTAAACACTAAGATTAGCTTTTCATTTAATGTAATACTAGTATAGTTCTTTACCTTCATGTTTTTATGAGTGGGTAGTTTCCAACACTAAATCATTTCTTTATTATTGTTAATATTTCCATTACGTTCATTGTTATTATTATCTTACCTCTCTCAATTCCCTGGTCGTATCTGCCACTGTGCACACCAAGCAAGAATGAAAGCACCAGCGAGTAGGAGCTGCCCGTGGAAGCCTATGCTGGCAAATATCATCCAGTAGCTTGGTGCGCTTTGCTGAGCGGCTGAAAAAGGTGGCCAAGCCAGAGAGGTGGGAGAAGAAGACCTTACACTCTCTTATCTTGGAAGCTCCCTTTGACAAGACGAGATTTAAGATGTGAGCATAGCAGTGAATGAAAAGGGCCTGTGGAATTGTTTCCTTAACTTTCGCTTGCACCCCATTCAATCCAGAGGCCATAACAGCTGCTCCATCGTAGCACTGCGCGACCACTTTGTCAATACAGCCACTCTCCCTCAGGAACTCCAGCAGCCGTGTAGCTATGGCCTCTGCTCGTTTGTCCTCTGTCACATCTTCGTACTTGAAGAAACGCTCTTTTATCCCATCGTCAGTGACATATCGAAGCA